AACTAAATATAACATTTATATTTGGAAGTTTTTTTGAAAATAATTAAAAAGTTTGTTCATTATTATTTAAATAGTATTCAAATAATAAAACGAAACCTTAGTATTCGTCGAAACTTTAGTCCCAAGTATGTAATTATATAAATTCAGTCTTAAAAAGGTAATAATAAAAATTTGGGACCATTAAAATTGTAATATTACGGGAAACTGTTGAAAAATCTCCAAAAACACTATTTTTGATTTTATTTAGTTTTACAACTTTTTTTAAATTACTATTTTTTAAGGCTTATTTTGTGTAAATTTTTGTTAAGTGAACAACATATTACAAACAGACTTTATAAAAAGACTTAAAACTTAAGAATATGGTTATTTTTATTAATTTTTGATAATTATAATAAATCAAAGAATATTCTTCCAAATTCTTAGCAAAACCTACAAATAGACAGCTTTTTATGCAAGAAAACCCACAAATAAGCGACTTTGACTGTACTTGTTCATCAAATTACTAAGTAATTTTAGTAATTTTAAGGTTATCTTGTTAATAAAGTCTATAAATACAAACTTCACCATGTTTTTAAAAAGTTTCATTTTTTTATAAAAAGTGTTTGGTGTCACTAAAAAAACAAAACAGAAATGTCTCGCATCAGAATAATAATATTTGGTTGTCAAGGTGTTGGGAAGTCGTCAATTACTATACAACTTGTTTGTAACTACTTTGAAGAAAATTACGATCCAACAATCCAAGATTCATATCGAACAAGCATTTTTGTTGACAGAGAAATGGTCTTACTTGACGTATTGGACACAGCAGGAGATGAAGAGTTTCCAATGTTTTATGAAGAATATATTAGATCCAGTAATGGCTTTGTCATTGTTTATTCTATCACTTCAAATACAACCTTTTTAAATGTTGATATGTTTAGAAATTATATATACAGAGTTCTTGAAAAAGACTTAAGTGAACACATTCCGATTGTATTGTGTGGGAACAAGTGCGATTTGGAGTTAGAAAGACAAGTGTTTACAAATGATGCCAAAAAAGTTGCTGATGAATGGAAAATGTTGTTTTATGAAACTTCAGCAAAAAACAATACTAACATTATAGAAATGTTCCAAGGGTTGGTGATAAATATTAAAACAAATATCAATTTTGAAGATGTGATAATTAACATTTCAAAAGATGCAACCAAATAAAAATAAAAAGGGATGTATTGTAATTTAATTAAAATACACATTAACAATGTGTATTTTTTAATATTTAAATATTTAATGCAGACTGTGCGACATCAAGTGTGGCGGGAAGTGCGATGGCACAGCGGTGGTGTGCATTGAATGTGACACAAACTATATGCCAACAACACCGCCATCGCTGATATGCACCAAATGTAACATCTTGTTGTGTTTTGTGTGCACCCGACAAAAGAGAGTGTGTGTTTTGCACAAACGGGAAATATCCAGACGAAACTAACAAAACGTGCAAAGATTGCGACTCAACACACAATGCAACACTACAAGTGGAATGTGCACCTGTTGCCTGTCAAATTGCGTTTTCACAGAACCGGAATCACAGAGTTGTGTGAATTGCACATCATTTGATGAACACTGTTAAAACATGTGCATCCCATTAGACACGAAGTTGCATCGATTGTGTTTATGGTTACTACTCAGATCAATCGTCTCACATTTGGGTGCTATTTAACATAATAGAACAAAATTGTAATTAATGTAGTACAACGACAAAGAAATGTACAAATTTAAAGACCCGTTTTATATTTCCTCAACATTTGAATGTATGTCTTGTGAAAAAGGTTCATTTAAGAATTTAAAAAAAGGATGTACACAATGTTCCAATTCTACTAAATATTGTCAAGAATGTACGACTGTATCAGTGGGTAAACCCAAATGTATAACACGTCATCCTCCATACAAAGTATCTTCTAATAGAGACTATATTGTATGAGACAATAATCAATTTTATAGTCAAATAAAAGGTATTTGTGTGTCGAATACACCCAATAACATTATACAACTTTCTTAAGATGTTTGCCTTGAATGCCAAGTCGACCATTTCTTATCAAATCAAACATGTGTAGCATTGGGAAATTGTGATTATCATGTTTTAATAACATCGTGTGATAGTATCAATCAAATATTAATGAATACAGGCAAAAAGATACAAATTGTTTATTGTAAATATAAGAAGAGTTCCCAAACGAGCAGTTTATGTCTCAACTGTCAAAATGACTATACACAAACAAAAATGGATTGCGTTCAAAAATCATTTTGTTGTATGTAATTTGAAACAATGTCATATCCATGTGAAGATAATGAATATCTCAATGATAACGAGTGTAAGAGTTTTCGTATTACAAAAACTGAATGTATAAAAATGAATGATAATGTGTTACAACTGAATTGTGCAGAAATTTTCGTTTATGATGTTGATAACTTTCGGTGTATAACAGATGAGAATTGTGTCACAATAAACAACGAAATGTGTTATTTGTAATTTGTTGTCTAATAAAATGGTGAAAAGGAAGTATTTTGAATGCACATATAACAATTGTGAAATTTGTTCTTAAACAAAATGTATAAAATGTTCCCAGCACCATTTATTAGTCACTGATAATTGGTGTGTTGATTTTCCGAATTGAATTGTGTTAAGAGTCGTGAATATGGTTGTGTCCAATGCAATGAAGGGTTCTACCAAAGTGATACTAAAAACATCGAAGGGTAGTACTCGTATTGTCTTCCAATTCCACGAGAAGAGAACTGAAAATATCTAACAACGTCGAATTTCAATATGTTGAGTGTTACAACTCTTTTAAATTAATAAAATGGTGTTTGT